AGAGAAAACCAAACCTCAAACTATTCTATACAGAGGTACTTCAGGGTAGTGGGGGAGGGTGGGAGATTAAAGAGAAGGAAGCCACACTGGATTCCTTATATTGTGACAGTGTGTCAGACTGTCACAATATATCATGCCTGCAATTTCCATTTTATGAGAATCAGAGAAGGCCGCCATATAATCTTTCATATAATCAAGAGAACTCAAGCTCAATAATGATTTGCACACGTTCTAAAGTAACTATGGATGGGAAAATCTAGATTTGTAATAGTTGAACATTTTAACCAAAATACTTTAAAAATAAAGAAGCTTAGCAGTTACGCACACTGCTGCCAGGTCCCGTGTCTCCCGCAGATACAGGCCAAAAGTGAGCATGCAGGCGTTAAAGGTCACCTCAGTGCTCACCATGAAGGAGACCTCCGGCTACTACACAGCAGTCACTCTTAATCAAGAACAGTGGTCACAGCCAGTGCAGAAACATTATCCTGAGCACAAATATGCCCAAAATATTTAGATATATTCTGGCGAAGTCTAAGTAATTCTTCAGTATAGGAAAAATGAAATCACAATCTGACTTGGTTCAATTCCTAATACAAAAGCTGTCTCTAAGGTCTTACCAGGAAATAAATCAGAGACAAGGCAGAGTAGCAAGTTATATTCAAATGAAGAGGCCAGTCCTTCAGAGTTGGAGGGGAGCAAGAACATTTTTTATGTTTTGCATTTACATGAGAAGTGGTTTTCTAGTCTGCCAGTGTATAATGGGTTGATGACAAAAAATCACTCAGAGAAGCTTGAAGCTTTGAGAATAACCTGGCAAATTCTCTGCCCTGGCAAGCAAACCATGATCTCAAAGACCAAGTGGGGAGCACGAGTATTCCCTTTGACAGAGGATCTTTCAGGCACAGTGGAAAGCGGGCAATGCTGGGCACATACAAGAAGCCGCTGCAGAGTTGAACAGGAATTACCACCTGTAAGACCTGCTCTACTTTCCTGTCCTGTGAAGTAAACAAGGTACAATATACGAAAGAAAACGCTCCATAAATACCGCATGGGATATAATGCCCCCAACACAAGCCTGAAATAGTCAAACATCAGAAGTCCAACTTGAAGTGGTTACTAAAGAACTGAGGAAAAATCTAGCCATCTGAATGACAGAACCGGCCCAAGTAAGACACCTGCAACTGGGTGCATCGGGATAAGGCTTCACTTACGCATCACTTCCATGACCCGGTGGCGCAAAAAGGTCCGGCTGCTCTGTAGGGCTCCAAAACGTTTCAAGTCCAATTCCCAGACGTTTTCTGAGGGATAACCGTGCACCATCCATTCAGCGAGGTACCTATTTAGATGAGAGGAAGCTGTTGGGCCTCAGGGGTGATAGTCAGCACTGTACCAGGAATCCAAAACCGAGAGAATCAAAGATCCTATCTTATCAGGAGCTGGTTGAGCAATTCTGAGCAATTTCCTTAACATTTCTGGACCCATCTACTGCTCTCACAAGACCACTATGAGGATTCTAGCTCTAATAAGATTCTCTAGAAAGTTTAAGACACAGGCACATCTATGAAGAAGTAAAACTAAAATATATATACAAATGTATTCATTTATAATTCCTATGGAATTTTTTTTCCTATAAAACAGTCACTTCGGGTGGTTATACAGTTATCTAACTGCATCTCTGCTCCAAACACTCCTGGTAACTACTTCGATAACTGTTTTAAGAGCCATTCTACAAGTCACCCAAGAAAAATGCCCCCATTAATTAAAAATATTTATTTTAATTGTGGAAATGCACATAACACAAATTGACTATCATAACCATTTTCGAGTGTACAGTTGAGTGGCATTAAGTACATTCACACTGTTGTGTGACCATCACCACTACCATCTCTAGAACTCTTTATCTTCCCAAACTGAAATTCTTTTTCCGTTAAGCAGTCACTCTCCATTCCTCCCCACTGCCCCTGGCAAGCACCTTTCTACTGTGTGTCTTTATGAATCGGACTACTCTAAGTATACAAGTGGAATCACACAGTATTTGTCCTTTCATGGCTGGCTTGTTTTTTATTAGTAACTAATAAAAAATGAAAACTTATAATACTCGGCATGATCATCTGTCTCACTCAACACACTTGGACGTTTTCAAATTCAAATATACACTTAAAGGACTCATATTTCTTACGACTGAAAGGGTACACAAGAACGTGCATCCCACATGCTCAGTGGCTAACTCCAAAAAAGGAGTTCCAAGAACACTTTGCGCAGTGACATTTTATGAAGATCAAGAGAGCCTCCCATGGTGATTGCTGTGAAGGGGACAACTCTCAAATTACATGTACCTTCTTCTTATGGTACCTAATACACTTAATCTTGTATGTTAACAACAAATAATTCTAGAAAGAAAGCAGCCCAGCAAGCTGAGTCTGAGGGTGAAAGACTTACTTTCCGGCTCCTCCACCAAACGAAAGTCCAGCAGAGTTCATTCCCGCCAGAACGAAGTAGCCCTGTACCAAAGGAGACTCGCCCATGATGCACCTCATGTCTGGGGTGAAGGTCTCCGGGCAGTTCACCAACTTCACGATCTCCAGAGTCTCCAATTCCGGCATCCTGCGCAGGAGGGAACTCAACAGGGGCTCTGAGCAATAAAAGCAGACCCAGAGTCCTCAGCTTCCGGGAATTAAACCTTCAGCTCCTTATACTTTGCTACGCCCTGTCCTTTCATAAAAACTCTTGGAAGAGGTTCTCTACAAAGAGCCTACTGGGCCCTTTACTGCCAAGCAGAAACTGTGGTGGAATCATGGGCACACCTGCGAAGTGCTTGGCATGAAGACTGGGAAAGACGACACTCTTTAGAAAGGAAAGGAGCAACGGAAGAGCAGTGGCCCATGTGGCTACAGGTAAGGACATCAGAGGGCTCGGCCCTCGTGGAAAAGCTCCGACCTGGAGCCCAAGAGCAAGAGCGATGCAATGAAAGGGCGGGGTCTCCTGAGTCAGAACAGCTGCGAAAGACAGAGGCTCAGCCTGTTTAAAGGACGTCCTTCATCTGGGAGGAATCCGGTGGGACACTGGTAACAAGACACCAACTGCAGCTGGCTGGGGGAACGTGGGTTTCCTTACGCCATTTCTCCACTTTGAAAAGTTTGAAGATCCCCACAATAAGTTTATTTTTAAAAAGTTTATTAAGGGTGGGAAGGACACTCTTCATTATAGACCTTTTCACAGCTTTTGAATTTGGAACCAGGTGACTGTATTAACTATTCAATAAGTAAAATTACTTTTAAATTGAGTAAAAGACCACATTAACAAAACAATTCTAAAAATTTCTTCAGTCTTATATGAAATCCTAAGAAAAGGTTTCCTCCCAGCCTAAAATTTCAGCAGCGATTTTAGGTGGATAAGTTAGGTAACCAAGATGTAGTTCCCTGAGTAACTATGTCCTGAGACTGGGCGGTCTCTGTAGCCTGCCTTCTAGGACCTCCACATGGGGCTGTTACAAATATCAAATTAGGTGCTATTCTTAAAAATGCTTTGAAAAATGTAACATCTTAGACAAATATAGGACATTATTGTTCTTATCCGGTTCACACACCAAAGTGATCCCAGTCTTCCTGTAGATTCTGAATCTCCAGCTGGTTCTTGCCCTCAGTGAAAATTGGTTTCGGGGTCTTCTCAAAGCCCCCAGACAAGATGCCACCTTGCCAGTTCCGAATATAAATTCTTCCATCAGCATCCACAACAGCTGAGGAAGAGAAATGACAAGGGTGTGGGAAATAGGAGAGAAAAACAGAATTTAGAGGTAAGCCAGCTTTCTAAACAGACAGAAAAAAGGAAAGCAAAAGCACCCGCTATTGGCTTTATCAATGAAATAGCATCTAATAAATGCAGGCATTCGTTAGCTTTAAAATATACTTCTAGGTCATGGGGGAGGCTCCCCATTCTCAGAGTTACAGGGAGACTATTTCTCTGATTATCCCTGTCATATCCAGAAGCTCTGACTAATCCCCACAAGCAAACTACGTAACTGCCACAGTGCCACATACAGTCTAAGAAAAAGGACTGCTGAGCCCATTCTAAGGATTAAGACCTTCAAAGTGATATCAGATCCTCTCCCACCCTACTGAGGGTCGCTGAATATCCTGAGATTATAGCTTACCTCTAACATTTCTAAAATGTATAGCATTCAAGTCAAAAATTCCAGGTTACATTCCAAATATTCTCAAATAAGAACTCTGGGACTACAATCAGCTTACAAAAGAACAAACAGAAAAACTGCTTAAGTAGAATGCCCGTTTTGGCCATCCTTTCATAAAGAGTTCTTAAAGAAGTTTGAATTGGGTCCACCTCCCTATAACATGCTCTAGAAAAGACTCAGGGAGTCTGTACTTAGCAGAAAGTCTTCCTTTTCAGAGGACAGTACAGTGGCAAGGAAACAGGATTAAAAATAAAGTGCAGATCCTCACTTGGTGTGTTGCTCTGCAGAGGGGTCTCCAAGGGGCGAGTCAGAAGGTAGAAGTGTTCGCAGGCATGTAACGGGATACTAATCGGCTCCTCGTTGGACAGACCCAGCTCGTATGCCCACTACAAATGGACAGGTTGATTTGTGGGTGGAAGAGGAACAGAAAGACAAACAAGTTCAGCCGCTTGAAAGACTTTAATTTCAAGTGGCTTGTGTGTGCTCTTCCTACAATGTCAGGTGTGGGAAGCCAGGTTTCAGCCTGCTTTAGTTTAATGATTTGGATAAGGAGCAACACTATACTTTTTAAACCATGAACTTACTTTTAGATCAAAGGAAGACAGATTTACCAACTTGTAAAAAGAACTCAAAGGGAGCAAATGAGGCCTTCTGATAAAATGCTTGGCCTCGACTACAAATCCCAAAAATGAATCATAAATGACTTCATGATAAAAGTATTCCCTGATCACCTTAAGATTGTAGAGTGGCTGAAGGACCACTTTGCCTTAAACGTAGCAGCAGTTTAGTATTCTGGAAACTGAATCCTTGCTCTTGACATAATAAATAACCTAATACTTTATTCGCTAAATTATAGAATAAAAAGAAACACCATAGTAAGACCCAATATTAAGGATTTACGTCAATGCCCAACCACTCCCTGACAGGAAAGCACCAGCGCCCCCAGGTGGGGGAAGGAAAGGGCCACCGCAGCTCTAGTCTAGGAACAGTCCAGGATTCTGACTGGAGTACAAGAACTCTGAGTTTTCCAGTCCACACAAGAAACAGTGTGTTCCCTGACATCTGTTTGTCTGTCACTGTAAAATCTTAAGTCTCTACGCCAGAAAATTCCCGGTGATAAATAAGAAAGTCTGAGCCACTGTTGCTGCTAACCTACCTGACCAGCACAGTTGACACAG